TGGACTTTTTTCAATTTTTAGAAGATTTCTATATATTGAAGTTATTACTCCATTGTCTGGGATAAAAGTTGCAAATATTATTCCCCATTTGCCATATATATTTTAACTTTGCTTCTTATGTTATTATCCATGCACAAGACTTACTTTGTTTGCTTTGTCTTTTGTATGGTTTATGTTTATAATCAAAATTATCAGTCTTCTCCTTTATTGCTTCTAGATTTTGAATCATGATGAAACAGTTTTCCTCACTCCCAGATGATAAAGGAATTCATTCATATTTTCTTTTGGTACTCATGTATATATATATTTACTTTTACATCTCTGTGATAAGTTAACCTTGATTTGGACATTTATAAGAAAAAAATTATATAAGGTGCAAGTAAAATTTTAATAGAAAATGTTCACCAGTGGTTTACTTTACACAATACCCTAGAAAACGAATAGTCTGGAGTTCTTTTTGTTTTGTTTTGTTTTCTATCTCCAAGTTATAAGCTCACCCAACTGTGATGAAGTGAAACTCCTGTCTTCCTTCTAGCAAAGTATATAATCATTATTTTGGCTTCTTTTTCTCTGATGACTAGATTGGAAATTCCCCCAAGCTGTAATTCAAAGTTATAGGTGACCTTAAAGAAATGATTTTTTTATATGCTATCTTTTATTTTAAGGTAACTTTTCAAATGTGGACCATGCATTCCATTATGTTTGGCTGTCAAGTACAGTCTTCATTTGCATTTCTTCCCACTGCTATAATTTTGAGAACTGGCAGGTGACCAAAGAAGAAAAAACTGTGCATCTACCATCTAGAGTGCAATGTAGGCTTTTTTTATTATTATAATTAAGTGGCATAGATATTCGTGATTAGATCAAGGTCAGAGGAGCAGAACATCAGAGCCAAGGACTTAAAGGTACAAAGAATAGAAAAATAGCTTTCTAAAGTTTTTTTTTTTGATAGTAATGGCTACAATCTTTAAGTTTTGCAAAAGCATTTAAAATAGCTCATCTGTTTTATTTTAAAATTTGCATGCCTGGTGTGTTTACCCTGCACATTTAAACTGGAGCTTGATGTCTCGGTTGCATTTTCATTCCAGGTTTTTTTTTTCCAACTTCCCCTTTCTGCTCCTGGTGCAGAAAAGCAATTTGCGAATTATAATGACAATGGATTTTTTTTAAGGCTGAGTCTACAAGACTACACCCAAAATTATTTGTACAGAAGGTATATGTTTTCTATTAAGGCTAAAAGATTAATCCAGGAAGGTAGTGCGATGTTTAGATGTAGAGGGTTTCAACAAGATAGCCCTCCTAACACTCAGCGATAACTGTCTGACAGGACAGTGGCTGCTCCCCTCGGGTAGACACATTACTGTAGAGCTGCTTTTCTTGACCTCTCTAACTTAATGGCTCCCTCTCAGTCCAGCTGATCAATTTAGGCTTATATTACTTCCCCTTCCTTCTGACTTACAACACGTCTAGTACACTGTCCACTCTTCCTCCTTGGCAGACTCTTCTCCTCTGAGAATCTCCTAATTGATCCGGAGCCCTAGGATCCATTGCAGGGACCGCGTTCTTCCCTCCCCCCCCCTTCCCCTTAAGTAATCTCTAGTCCCACAGCTTTTAATGCCGACTAAACACTGAACATTCAATTTCATTTGACCTCTCTCCTCACCTTGAAACTCATATATCTGACTTCCTATTCAACATTTTGACTCGGTTATCTAGCAGTCATCTCAAATTTAACCTGATCAAAACTCAGCTCTTTTTCTTTTTTAAGTATTTTTTTTTCAAATCTCACTTTTCAAAATTGAAGTATAGTTGATTTACAATGTTGTGTTAGTTTCAGTCATACATACATACATATATTTATTTATTTATATTCTTTTCAGATTCTTTTCCATTATAGATTATTACAAGGTGTTGAATACAGTTCCCTGTGCTATACAGTAGGTCCCTGTTTTTCTGTTTTATAAATAAGGGTACGTATATGTTCATCTCAAACTCCTAGTTTACCCCTCCCTCCCTTTTCCCATTTGGTAACCATAAATTTGTTTTCTATGTCTCTGAGTCTATTTCTGTTTTGTAAATAAGTTAATTTGTGTCATTTTTTTCCATATTTCACATATAGGTGACATAGGATATTTGTTTTTCTCTGTCTGACTTAATTTACTTAGTATGCTAATCTCTAGGTCCATTCATGTTGCTGCAAATGGTATTATTTCATTCTTTTTATGGCTAAGTAATATTCCATTGTGTGTGTGTGTATATGTGTGTGTATAATCTTCTTTATCCATTCATCTGTTGATGGACATTTTTGTTGCTTCCATGACTTGGCTATTGTAAATAGTGCTGCTTTGAACATTGGGGTGCATATATCTCTTTGGATTAGAATTTTCTCCAGATATATTCCCAGGAGTAGGATTGCTGAAGCACATGATAAGTCTATTTTTAGTTTTTTAAGGAACCTCCATACTGTTCTCCATAGCAGCTGCACCAATTTACATTCCCACCAACAGTGTAGGAGGGTTCCTTTTTCTCCACACCTTCTCCAGCATTTATTCTTTGTAGACTTTTTAGTGATCACCATTTTGACTGGCATGAGGTGATACCTCATTGTCAAAACTCAACTCTTGATTCACTCAACTTGATTCTTTTCTTGTCTTCTCCATCTCCATGTAAGTCACCAACACCCAGTCTTTTAAAGGGGAAAAAGTAACATCCTCAAATCTTCTCATTTCTTCAACCTCTCCCCACATCAGAAAAACCTACTGATTGTTCAACAACACATCCCATTCTGTTCACTTCTCTTCTTGCTACTTGTGTGTCCAGGTCACCACTACTTCTTGCCTGTCGTCCAGCTTCCCCTCTTGTTCCTTAAAATTCATTATCCACACAGTTACCAGAGTTCCAGAGTCACTTTTAAAAAATATACATCATATCCTATTTCTACTCTGCATAAAACTTCTTAGTGGTTTCCCATAACACTGAGAATAAACTCCAAGCTCTTTACTTTGGCCTGTAAAGTCTGACCCTGACCAGCTCTTGGACCTCATCTCCTTCCAATATTGGCCTTTACTGTTCCTGAACCTCTCCCAGCTCAGCTCTACCTCATGACATGCCTAGTACATGCTTCCTCTGAGCCTTTTTGCCTATTTCCAGTCTATTCAATCCTCAGTTCAAATTTCAGCTCTTTAGCGCTTCTCTACACCCTACACCACAATGGGTCTCTATATTATCAGTTTATTTTGTTTCCATCATTGAACTCACCTAATAGTTCCCTGCTTGTTTAGCATCTTCCCAACCAGAACGAAAACTCAGGAATTTGTAGATCATGTTCACTGCTATATTCTCATGGCCTAGATAAGTCCCTGGCACATAGTAGGTATGTAATAAATATGTTGAATGAATGAATGATTGCATTCATGTTTGTTTGGCATCAGTTATGCACATTTGCAGTGCTGACTAAAATTTTAGACCTTATTCGTACTTAATCACTGCTTGTTCTTAACCATTTTGTTTTCGTTGCTTCATATTGTCCTATCAGCTACAATTTTACATATTTAAATAAATTCATTTTTCAAAGTATGTATTCTATTGAAGCTAGTGCTACTCAAAATCTGGCCCATGGACCAGTGTTGATCACAAACTGTTTGTTACTAGTATGCAGCAAGGTAAATATAGACACTGAGAGAAAACATGTAGAAATATTACGGAAAGCTACATCTAATGCCTGTTGACTCTAACAGTCTAAATATCAGGACTTTACTTTTGTATGTCTTTGTTTTTTATTTTACCCTTTAGGTACTTCATTTTATTATATTTTACAAATGTATTGACCATGATAGTTGAGAAATTAAAAAAATCTTTTATCATAGTTTCAGAAGCACGAATCCAAGCTACCTTCCTTTAGAAATAATACAACAGTGATATTTTAACTATTGAATAAGATTGCAGGTAACAATTTATCATGTACGAAAGTAGATCCAAATTTATCTTGCAACAACTAGTGACTTGTTTATGTGAAAAAGAAATAGTGAGTTTAAAATGTATTGTATTCAATAAAGTCCTGAATTTAAAACACAAGAAGCAAACTGGGGAGACTATGTTTGGAAACAGCCTTTCATTCTGCAAACAGTGATCGTTTAATAATAAAGCCTGTTTGAAAGCACAGAGTAGGTTGGATCAACGCCAGTAATAACCTACCATCCACTGTTTTGCAAGAGTTGAGCAGAGAGCATGTTGACCGGCAGCAGGGACAAGAACATAACGAAACGCCAGGAAGTCCACCCTCCCAGCCCAGACCTGTGCAAACTCAGTCTCTAGACTGCTCGTCAAGGCCTTCCTAGTTCTCATCTCACTGAAATCTTAAGTAAATGAATTGAAATAGCTGGGGAAGTCTCCTGACAGAGCGGTTCTTCCTGCCATCATAAAGAGATGTCCCGATCACTCCTTGGTTAAGAGACACAAACCGTGGCCTCTCACAGGTGCTTCTGCGCCCTTGGCCTTCTCCATGCCGGGGCCTGTCATCTATGTCTGGCAACGGTGACTACGAAGAGACAGGAGGGACTATAGATATGAGCCTATCTCTCGTCAGCAGTTATCCCGACACACTTCCACTTGACCTCAACACACTTCCCAGACGCCACCAAAAAGCCTCTGCTGTAATCATTCTTGGTCACTACCGGTTTGGGCTGGATTTGATTCAGTGACTTAGAGGTGAAAGGCTTCATATTCAATTACCAGGCCCTCAGCTTCCTCGATTAATCAAAGGCTGACATAATAGGTCTTTTACGACTCTCAAAGAAGAGACCAGATCAAATCAATATAATCACTCTATAACCATAAAAAGAAATATTCATAAATATTCTTTATTTAAATATAAAAACCAATACTCCCTGGCACTTCAACGAACTTGGTTAGAATGCACTTCATCTAGAATTTTACTACAGGAAACTTGAGCATAATCAAAATGATGATCAAACTGTACTTTGAGTTTCTACAGCAGCGCTCTTGAAACTCAAACACGTTCATATTTATTTTACCATTGATCCCGCACCCGTGGCTTGGTGTCTCTGTAATTTGTGGAAGGGTTTATCTGGTCAGAAGGAGTGCCGTGAAAAATTGTAACAATCACGATGGCACGGCTGAACTGCTATACTAAACCGGGTTCTCTTATCTGCCATTGTATCAGGAAGTCCTAATGGAGTCAAAGAAGAGGTGGAATCTGAAAGATCATAAAAGAAGCAACAATGAGGTTGCAAATCACTAGCAGCAAGTGATTGCCAGCCTCTAAAGCAATAAAATGCTTCTGATGCTAAAGCGACAGCCACATAAACCCAGAGGAAACTACTGGAAAAGTCAAAAGCCAACTAATCTAATCTGAACTTTCAGTGACACTATCAACATATATAAAGTCATTGAAGAGTTCAAAGTTTAACCTTACGTCTAAAATTCAAGGATAAAGTCAAAGCAGAGAATATATTTCCCTTCATCTACATGTCAAAATAAGGAACTACCTTCTACCTGACAAGGAAAGTGAGGATTATTTATATGGCAATTTATATTAAAAAACAGTACCTAGTTCTTTGTGTTAGGGCTTTAAAAGAAAGTTCAGGTTGTCTTATTCATTATTGAGTTAGAGGCTTCTGAGAGATTCTGAAATCTTTTACTTTGGTGCTTTATTTTGTCACCTTTCCTCTCTTTTTAATATGTTTCTATTGATCTCATCTTCTTCATTTTTTACATCAGTTGTCAGGCACCACCTTGGGCTGGTCACCAGGACGCTGGAACCCGTGCCAGAGGTTTGTCCCTTTGAATTCAGCCCCTTGTGTGCTAAACTCTTCTCAGTCACTTTATTGCCCTTCATTCTTACAATTGTCACCTTTCTGATTGACATTTTGGAAAACCGAAGGACAATTCCTTTACTAATACATAATATTTCCGATTATTTGCAGGCTGCTCCCTCCTGACACCATTTGGGGTGTTTGCTAACGCCCTGAAAACGTGCTGTCTGCGACGCTGCCATCCCAGCGGAGGTGTGAGCAGTTGGTTAGACCACGCCAAGGCGAAACACGGCGGCCGCTACAGTGAGCTCCATGTGGAGGACTCAAAATTTTTCTTCACCCTTCTCCCTCTCTTCATTTTTCAGCTCCTCTACAGAACGTGCATTATGCAGGTAAGGACGGGTAATGAATACTACCCACAACAATAATAAAACGACTGCATGTTAACGTTACGAGTAAACACTTCTTTTCAGCCCACACATTTCATGAGGCAGTTATCCTATAAATGTTTCTAACGATCACAGGCTCTGATTTTAGGAGCTAAGTCGGGGCAGGCAGAGGCATACCTGAGGAGAACCCAGGTGTGACGTTTGTCCTGTAGAACTATACGTGGCCCTCAGTAGGTGCAGGCAACACTTCAGAGAATGTCGTTGTGAGACCTAAGAATAACACATGAAAATTTGAGATCTCTGGCCACTTATCCACTTCCTTTTAGTCAAAGGTTCCTCTTTGATCAAGCCTTTAAAACCTGTACTAACAGGTAGCTAAACTGGTTGATTTGAGTAACACTTCCATTGTGCTCTTAAGTGTAAATACTAATGAGAAAGTGAGTCTTAACCCCACCCACTCCTAGTTCCCTTGGTGAATCAGTCCCTATGCTGTGACGAAATCAGACGGAAAATACTAAGTCCAAAGTACTCTTTGTAAATATATGTGATTTAGAAACAATTTTAACATGGTAATGGTTAAAGACTAACTTAGTTATGAAGAAATTGAAATGATTATAAAAGTCTTTGAAGGAATTTGGGACTCTCTTCATTGCTAACCTGTACCTTGGAATTAGACGGGTAATGAGTGAGTTATATTCTTAAATCACAGAACAGAGCTGGGGGAAAAAAAAACCTTAGAGATTAACTTACTCGACTACGTCATTGTTGAGAAGGAAACTGAGGCTCAGAAAAAGTAAGTGATTTTGAAAGGGACAGGTAGGTCACACAGTGGATAATAGTAAAAGCAAAAGCAGAATCTACCTTCTGAGTCTTAGTCCAAAATGCTTGCTCCTCTAAACCAGGGGTCAGGAAATTACTGTCATGCAATCCAAATGCAGCCTACTGCCTTTTTCAGATGTCTTGCAAGGTAAGAAGATGTTTATATTTTTATATGGTTTTTAAAAATCAAAAGAAAAGCTATTTTGTGGCACATGAAAATTATACAAAATTTGAAATTCAGTGTCCATAAATAAAGCTTTATTGGAGCATGGCCGCTCTTGTTTGTTTGTTATGTTGGATCTGCTTAGCCATCAAAACTGCAATTAAGGAGTTGCAATAGAATCCATACATGGAAGTATTTTCTGTCTGACCCTTTGCAGAAAGTTGCTGTCCTTGTTCTAAACAATGCATGAAAACTAGGTGGGTTTAGCAGATTCAACCTCCCTCTTGACTCCAGCACAGTAGCTGGCACAAAGACACAAAAGTATTACCCGTATGTATGATCGCTAATATCATAAAAACATCTTAGAATGGAGAAATTAATCATGAGCACGAAATTACTAAGTGGTCCACAGGGAGCCTCGAACCTTCCGTGCAAAATGACAAATGACTGATTCGTCCCTTCATGATGTAGTGACGCTTCACGTTTCTTTTGACTCAGTTCGAGCCTTCTCTGCAAATTGTCATATATTTTTAAACTGGACATAGATTACAATAAATTTTGATAAACTATTTTTAAGCATCTCACCAAATCCAGATGCCCAGTTTATTGCAAAGAACAAACACTAAAACTTGTTGACCACCTATATGTGTCATAGCCTCTGAAAGATGACTTCACAGTGTCTAATTTAATCCCCATGGCAAGCCTACAGGGTTGATATTATTATCCTAAATCTGAGGCCCAGAGACATTATGCAACTTGCAGCTTACTCTCGGTCACCTGCTAGCATATGGTAGAATGCCTGTCCCTACCTCAGGCTGGTGTCAATGCCCACACTTTGCTATTATTACCCACTATGCCTCTCTTGCAGCTGGGTTAAAAAAATTCCTTGGAACAGTCTATACAGGTTCCAAAATCATATACCCTAATGTTATACCAGAAACTTCAAAGAAAATGGCTAGAATGTCCTTCTCAAGGGAGGTAGAGGAAACTTCCACTGGGATGGGCTGGAATTAGATTTTTGCCTCCAGATGAATTAATCACCAGTATAAAGGCAATCACAGTACCAAGAATAAAACATCATCGAATTCCATATTTTAAATTTAGTAGCCATTATTGACCTTCAAGTTCCAAGACATACATTTAAAATACGTTGATATTAAGGCCGATGATGTTGCCATTTGACATTACTGGCCATTCAAAGGTGAAAATGAATCTCTATTGACAGCAATTACTTCTGAGTACCGAGGCTTGTATGAAATAAAAGTATTTAAAATTTTAAAAGGGATGATTTCAGAACTTGAGGCAGAAGCAGAAATGATTTCAAGCTTTCAAGACACTGGAGCCTTTTCTCAGATTAGGCAATATATTAATATTGCTTCACTAAAGATTAATAGTACATTTGCTACATTAGTAAGTTAACAGGTTTCTGTGTCTGTGATTCATGCCGATAATAACTTTATTCCTATTAACAATAATTCTCATTTGAAATCAGTAACAGAAACTTCCAAGTTGTGCTGGGAGCCTTTCCGTCTTAGAGCAGTTCTGCTGCCAGCACTTTTTTTTTTTAAAAAACATCATTCATTTTCCTCTGATCGGGGGATACGTGCTTAATAATTTTATTGAACCAGAGCAGAACTAGCTAATGCTCCCTTCTTTCTTGCCCTCTGCACCCAACCAAAACAATCCTTGTTTCCAACCCAAGGGTCAAATTAAAGATTGGAAGATAAATTAACACCAGGACATGTTTTACACAGACAGAAAGACTCTCAGTGCAGACACGGTCCGTTCCTGGGTCTGGGCAGTTAACATGGCAATAAGTTCATTTTCCAATTGGTAGTTAGCAGCTGTGCAGACTTATAACTCTGCTTCCCCACACACCCTCTCAAACGGCACAGCTGATAACAGAGGAGTTAGTGGAGGTTTCAACCAAGAAGTTAACGTCTGGATGTTCGAGCAAGGTTGCTCTCCCAGGAAGGAGGTAAGGCAAGGATCCTAATGTAGTGCATGAACTGCAAAAAAAGAAAAATGGAGAATCCATTCCTCAAGGACAAGACTTGAGTTGACCTTCTCGCCACGCCACTCAGTAGCTTGGTGAGCCACTGGGAATTGAAGAAATACCCTGTGCTACGGATGATAATGACAAAGATGTGATTATTGCAACAAAATGCAATAGAACTAGAAAAGTGGGGAGCTGCCCCCTTTCTGTAACGCTGTGCTTTCTTTCCGATGTCCTAACCTAACAGGAGGTGTGGAATACATGAAGAGGCTCTAAGTTGGTGCTAGGGTTTTAGTTAGTATTAGGGCTATTTTATTTATTTTTGTAGGTTTTAAAAAATATTTTATTTGTCATCATATTATTTAATTATTTTGTTTTGAGGGGGATGGGGGAGGTAATCAGGTTTATTTATTTTCAGAGGCGGTACTGGGGATTGAACCCAGGACCTCATGCATGCTAAGCCTGCGCTCTGCCACTTGAGCTACAACCCCCGCCCTCAGGGTTATTTTAGAAAGGAAGAAATTCTAGCAATGCATTGAGGGTTTAGGGTAGGCAGACTTTTTTTTTTTTTTTAATTTCTGCTACTTTATGATGCAAATGTTTTTTTTCACGTAGTTCGCTTTTTGGTCCCTTAGTGCTACACAATTACTTTCAAAAGAGAATATCGACCCACGTATGTTTTCTCTCTGTTGTTCTCATGTTACTTGGCTCATGTTAGAAACCAGGCTGATCCAGGGAGCCCGCCAAGACAGCCCACAGCAAGTAATGTGTCTCCCCACTGGGCCCCTCTTCTCAGGAAAAAAGTCATTCCTATCTGTTTTGCTCTTCAACTCAATGCTATTTAAAGGATCGAGTCTAGCCCCAAACTATTTTTAATCAAGGTGAAAACAAAAGCCTTTCATGCTTTCTACTGGCTTTTGCTTTATTCTTGGCCAACAAAAAACCTATTTGCTTATATGCAAAATTTGTTACTCAATTTCTTATGTGTCATCCCAAGCACAAAATTAGGGCCACTTTTACTTTTCCGAGGAAAATTAAGAAGATAAACTAGATGACAAAAGATGCGCCCATAAATAATTAGTAGTGCTGTCAATGGACTAAAACAGAGCTCCTTCTGCCCTTTATCAGCTCATAATCAGAACCTGGAAGACCCTGGCGGGACATCCGGCTCAGAGATGTTCTCAGTACAGGGAGGGGACAGAACTTTCTCCAAAACTTTCTCCATGCATCTGTCTTGATGCATGACTCTTTCCTCCTTCAGATTCCTTCAGGATATTATCTGCAGACCATGAATTCCAACCTGAACCTGGTGGGTCTGCTCTGCCAGTTGCAGCAATGAATGTCGTCAGCATCCTACCGCTATTAATTCTGGCTCCTTTCATGGACTATTTCAGCACCTGCCTGTTTCCCTCTAAGAGAGAGGGACCATTTCTGTCGGCATGCATTAGTAAGTACAACCTACCATTTCAAGTCAATTGTTTGCAACTTTTTAAAATGAGAAAGTCTTACTAAGATTTAAGTTAGCTACATGCTCTGAAGTCCGATTTTGACAAATGGGAAAGAAGGTGGATTTGACAGTGATGACGTCCAGCTTCTCAAATCTCACATTGCTCAGCGTCCCATTTTCTTCCTACACTTTTGTGCTTCTTCAAAAGATACCCCTGCTATAAAAACTTGGGAAAACTTCCAGTACCACCCAATAGCCGCTCCTTCTTCAAGTAAAGCAGTCTCTCCTCCTATGTCAATGCTAAGTGTGTTCTTAAAAATTAAGCCAGGTAATGGACCTAAAAAATAAGGCCAGGCTGTACCTGGGAGGCATTAACTTCTGAACCATAGAAAAATTTACTAAAAATTAGTGATTCACTGTACTATTCAATATAGTACTGCTTCCAATGGTAAGACTTACAGCAATAATTTTCAAACATTTCTTCTAGCTTCCTTGAGATCTAATTGATATACTACATAAGCTTAAGGTACACAATGTGACAAACTGATACAAGTATATACTGCAAGACATTTACCATAATAAGGTTAGTTAACACATTCTTTACCTCGCATATTTCCCATTTTGTTGTTGCTATGGTTGAGAACATTAAAGCTCAACTCTCATTTTTTAAATGAGAAAAATGGAAAAAAATGTTAAATGTCTTACTCAGAACGCAAGCAATAGACCACAACATAAAATTTCTGCCACTGAAATGAGAGAGAAGGAGGTGAAGTCCATTCCGGCCACACCCTCCTCGATCTGGCTGTGGTCCCCCAGGCACTGCCACGGAACAAGAGGACACGTGCTGATGCAGGAAAACCCGGCTCAATCTAACGATCAGAGATGGGGGTCTCTGCCACTGAGCGTCCCCTGGGTGGCTTGGAAAAGCCACCTAACTTTTCTTGCCTTCTAGCTCACTTACTTTTTTTTTTCACTGAGGGGCAAACCAGAGATAAATTTTGGGTCCCTTTGTTCTGTAAGACTTTTGAAATCACCCAGGATGACACGAGTGGCTGAAGCACAGTTCTGACACGTCAGTGGAAGCCCTGTGAATGCTAGCTAATACCGAGGCATCGTTCACAGGGGGCAGGTCTAATCGTTTGGCGAGTATAAACAGAAAGCAAAGAAACTCTGAAGAAATATCATGTAATGGCAACCTTGTGTCTTATCGTCTGCTTGAGAAATAATTTCATCGAAATAGTCACAGTCAGGCAGCTGGAAGATTCTCTTCTCTTGGTTAACCTGCTGTTACTCTTAACTCCTCCTTTGTAGAGCTCCGTGGGGAGCATGCAGCCTTCTAGTAATCCATTATTGTATTTTTTGCTGTTTCTCTGTTTATAGAAGTTACATTTCAAGGTACCTGCTTCCTGTTACCAAAACCATCAAGAAGATCACTCCAAATCACGTCACAGGGTGGATTTG